TTAATTTATTTAATGATTTTGTATTAATTTATAATATTTGGGCAAAGAAACTTTCATTGTGACATATTTAGACATCTATACAATATACCTCCATCAAACTTACCCCATCCATTGCTTCCCTCATCATGCCTGTCTTTTCTAAAACAATTTCATATTTCTACTCCTATGCATATTAATAAAGTTCTTCAAACCTCTTCACCCTCATATACCCTCTCAATTGACTTTCCCCATTCCTGATGGTATCTTTCCCCAAGCAGGGCCTATTTTTCTTTCTTATCCTTCTTTAATTGTTTAGTATATATTAATTGTACGTGGTATTTTCATCATAATATTCCACACACAATACATAATAATTCAGGCAGATTAAAATTGTCAATTGATTTCTATTTCTAAGTTCACATCTACCTATTATTCAACAATTTTAAAAAAGATTTGCTATGCTATCTGCATGTAGAGAATCAATGTGTTTCAATGTTTTCCATTTTCCATCATTCTCTCCCCCTAATCAACTCTGTCTGAATAGTCCAACAGTTACATAGTGATTATCATATATTTTATTTTTTTTTACCCCCTCCCCCATATATTTTATATACACACATACATGCCAATATACGTGCATGTGATTGGGGTATAAAATTCACAGATGAATGAACACATGTGAGGCTGGCTTTTTGCTTCTATTTTTGTATGTATGTTTCCTATAATGAGTGCAGTTGATCAAAGGATCTTTGCCATCAGATCCACACATAAAAGGTAATTTCATGCTGACAAGAAATGAGAAGTAGAGCTGAATTGTAGAGATGCTTAGATCATCTTCATGGTGTTTTGAGAGTTTAAAATTTTCTGTCTGTAGTCTGATTTCTTCAATGTCTGATTTCTAAAAATGGTAAGAAAAACCAACTCTTTTAAGGCCTCTCCTGAAATTTTATATTTGATATTTCAAAGTCTGGAGAGAGAGTTTCAGACTTTACTGCAGATTATAAAGCTTTTAGATGTCAAGTTTATGCATCTAAATATTACAAGATTAGGGACTAAAACTTCAGCTCTGAACTAGATTCTTTTTGTTAAACAAGGCCAATCAAATATATTACTTCAGGATTCTACTACAAACTTATCATTTCACTTTAGTATCTTGATATAGAATCAATGTAAATAGACATAAAATAATGCTAACAGAACTGGATGATTGGTAACTCTGATAACCAAAAAGTTCAAAACTTATTATGATTGCAGGATGCTTCTTTGTGCAGATTTGAGGAAAAATGTATGTACATATTTACACAAATATGTAAAAGATTATAGTCTAGCCTGTGTGTCTTCAGTTAGTATTTTCAAAGTCTGAAGGGGTAAAAATAACATTGTAATTGACAGACACATTGAACTGAGAATAGTATAAAATATGTAAGTGTGAGCAGGCTTAAGACAGAAAGCCTATAATAAGAGTCCTGCAAGGAGAAACTGGTTCTTAAGGACTTTGGTAGGAAAAGATAAACTCATGACACAAATAAATATGAAGATCATTTCTCTACTTTCCTATTTTTTTGAAAAATATGGCTGACAAGGGACGTCTGGACTGACATAGGGTTAGAATGCAAATCTCTTCAATCTTCAGGACCCAAAGAAGGTGGAATAATTTTAAACCTCTGGAAGAGAAGCCAAACCAACCCAAGATACTGTGAACATCAACCCTTTGATTTTAAGGCAAAAGAGTTGAAAAGAATGAGGAAACAAATTCTGAGGAATGTATGGGCTCAAAAAATAGGCTTTGTAAAGTTGACAGACCAAGAGAGGACACACTTTATTTTATTGAGTGACCTGCAGTTCCCCAAACATTCATGCTTGCCAGTTGAAGTAACCAAAGGGTCAATAAATATGTTGGTTAAACTACAGAATCATAGGAAACCCAACAGGACTGAACAGAAAATAAGTGTTTTTTGACTGAGCCCTCCATTACATTGTTATAATATCCTTGGTAGATTTTGAAAAAATCTACGAATGTTACTGCCACATTCTTAAGTTCTTGGAGTTTTATTTTTGTTCATCTTGTTTATTTCTCACTGCTGGCTTCTGCTAAGTATTGTAAGATGACATTTAGAAGGAGAATCTGTGAAAGTGTTTTATTTCAGATAACAAAGCAATGCATGAAATAGTTTTACCCACTCATTAATGTATTCATTTCTAGGTAAACAAGGGGAATGTATTACCAGTTTTATCTTCTGAATTGTAATCTTTCTGTCCCATTAGAGATATAAAATATGACTGGGCACCTGAAGCTCATGACTGTAATCTTACCTACTTTGGTAGCTGAGTTTTATAGGATTTCAAGTCAAGACAGTTCAAATCTTATCCTGACCAAAAATAAAAGAAAAAAAAACATGCAATGTAATCTTTAATTTGGGGGGGGGGGTAGGAGGTCCTGAAAAGAAAAGAAATAAATAAAACTTTACTACAGCAGATTGCACATTGAAAATTGCATTTTTATCTCATTAACTGAGAATTTTGTGAGCAAGATGTTCATTCATTTGGTTTGAAATTGTCATCTTAACAAGTAACTATTAAGCCCTCTTGTCAAAGATTGCTTAAAGTGAATTTTTAGTAATATTTGCGCTACTGTGGACTTTGTACACATGAAAACTGTGAATTTCTTGGCATATAATCTTGGAGGACACTGCTGTTCTGCTTGCTTTTAGTTGCTAGAAAGATGATACTGGATCATGTGATGTGGAAATGAGTCTTATGTAAGTGACTTGAGGCAAATGATTTAAAATTCATTTGTATTTTATTTCCAAATAATACCCTAAGATAAAACAAATATTTAAACAAATAATGTAACATTTGATTTACTTTTTAAGAGAAGAACTTTGGTGCTGCTTTCTTTTTTCCTAACACAAAAAATTATCATTGTTACAATAAGTGGATCATTTTTTCCTGCTTTTATTTGGTTAGTTGAGGTAATTTTTGGCATTAAATAGATTTCATGACAAATAGGAGCCATATATATTGAAGAGACAATTACTTAAATCACTAGGGAAGAAAACATAAGTTGTTAAATTTTAAAAAATGATAGAATAGAGGACTGGTTTAGAAAATCAGAAGCTAAAATATTTTGAGATGAGACAAAATGAGATTAGATGAAAGAACTAAAGCTTCTTATAACACCATAATGTGCTAGTTGTTAGGCAAGATAAAATCTTAATGTCTCTCTCTTGTGAATCTAAGGAGCTCAGCAGTTTTATCTCATTAGCACCTTTTGCTTAAGCCTGTCTGTTGGCAGCTAGAGTTTTGAGAAGGGCCATTGGGGGTATAAGATTTATTTGCATCCCTAGTGCCTACCCTGTATACATTTCACTAATTGAACAAAACAGAAGATTTCATGCATAAATAAATCAGGTTCTATAAAGTTTATCTTATTTCAGGTATAAGTCTGAAATCACACACTTTCAGTTTATTGAAAAACTATATGGGTTCATTGCAGAGTGTTATTACAGGATGATTTTAATGAGTTAAAATAAAGTACATCAAGTTTAATGCACATGGATCCTATACAGGTTTAGGAAATTACTTCAGTTGTAAGGACATACTCATGAAGAGTAAAACATTGATTCTAAAATTTTTCAAGAAGTAAAGGGATATTGGGTTTCTCATAGCTTAAGTATTTTACCAGGAAATAAATAGGCTCACAAATCCAAGATGAACAAATTATACATTGGAAGCTATATAAATCTTACTTAGTTACTTTTATATCTCTCAGAAATATGAGAATAACTATGAATCAAATAATGCACCAATAAGAAGAAATTAATTTGTTAGGATGCAATAAGAAGTCAATTTATATTTCAAATGACAAGACTACCCATATTATAAATCTAAAATTTTTGTCTTTATCTTCCTCTATAGATCAATCCAAGAATAAATATTTAGCTATCCAATTAGTAAAAACATTCTGAAAAGATAAGTTCAATTAAATAATGATCTATTATTGGCTTAAATTAATGCTTTCTCTTTCAAATATTTATTACATTGACATGCTATTTAAAATATGACAGGATTAAATAAATGACTGCTTACACGTGCAACATTTTTTTTCTTTTCCTTATTTGCTGGCTGCTCTCACTTTTTTTTCTCGTTTTATTTTACCTTTATTGTTTCTTCTAAAGCTGTGTCCTGTGCTAGTCAGATTTCTGCTACTATACTGAATATTTGAGATCAGTGGGTTATGAGGAGAAAAGGTTTGTTTGGTTTAAAAGTTTTGGAGAATTTAAGCTTAGATCAATTGGCCCTTTTGTTTGTAGTTCTGAATGAGGTAGCATTTAATTTCAGGAAGGTGTAGTAAAGTAAAGCTACCTCACCTCATGGCCAAAAGGAGAACAAATGAAAGGGCAAGAGTGTCATATAGCTTTTAAGGTTAAAACCACAGTGACTAAGTGCTTTCCACTCAGCTCTCCTTCAAGGTTCCACCATCCCCAAATAGTTCCATAGAATGCAGATTACAAACACTAAAGCTTGAAATTTAATGAACACTGTTTGAAATCTAGTGTCTATCCTTTGTTTATATACTTATCTTTCCCCCAAATATACCTATTTTCCTTTCTCCGTTCTTGTTTACCTCAGCCACATTCTTTTTTTTTTTTCTTGCATTTATTTTTTCTCTGAAATGCACTACTTTTCCCATAAGGGACATACCATTTGTATGCAATTATGTGCAAGCTAATCTGAAGATAATGAGTGTGTTCTTACTTTCTTGGGAAAGGAGTGATGCCATAGAAGCTTAGTATATTTGAAACCTTATGTTCAATCTCCAGAATCAAAATGTTTTTTTTTTTATTTTTATGTGAATGTTTTCTCCAAATCCTCTCTATAATTCTGCCATTTTTCTCAACTGTGAAAGAGACATAGCCATGTAGTAATTTGATTCCATTGGTGGTGTTGGCAATATTTCAGGATTATTTTGTAATTTTTTAAAAAAAAGTTTTCTTTTCTTTTCTTTTCATCTTGTACAGTGGGAAGAAATTGGTGAAGTTGATGAGAACTATGCCCCTATTCACACATACCAAGTATGCAAGGTGATGGAACAGAATCAGAATAACTGGCTTTTGACAAGTTGGATCTCCAACGAAGGTGCTTCCAGAATCTTCATAGAACTCAAATTTACTCTGCGGGATTGCAACAGTCTTCCTGGAGGATTGGGGACCTGCAAGGAAACATTTAACATGTATTACTTTGAGTCAGATGATGAGAATGGGAGAAACATGAAGGAAAACCAATATATCAAAATTGATACCATTGCTGCTGATGAAAGCTTTACAGAACTTGATCTTGGTGACCGAGTCATGAAACTGAACACAGAGGTCAGAGATGTGGGGCCTCTGAGCAAAAAGGGATTTTATCTTGCTTTCCAAGATGTCGGTGCTTGCATTGCTCTGGTTTCTGTGCGTGTGTACTATAAGAAATGCCCATCCGTGGTACGACACTTGGCCGTCTTCCCTGACACCATCACCGGAGCGGATTCTTCACAGTTGCTTGAGGTTTCAGGCTCCTGTGTCAATCATTCGGTGACAGATGATCCTCCCAAAATGCACTGCAGCGCAGAAGGGGAGTGGCTGGTGCCCATTGGAAAATGCATGTGCAAGGCGGGATATGAAGAGAAAAATGGTACCTGTCAAGGTAAGACCTTGCCTGTAAATCTGCGAGGGCTTTTCTGCTTCCTTTGGATCATGTATATGTATTTCCTCCACTGATTATGAGCAAGTGACCTTTTACTTTGTTAATTTATGGAGATTATTTCCCTTCCAGTTTGATTTCTCTCCTCTCTGAATTTTAAATTTTCTGGCAACCACCAAAGATTTAATGCAGTATTTTATGGGATATACATAATTAATACTCGGTGTCTGACTTGCAGTATAATGTTGCGTATTCACTTTGTTTTCTTAAGTTTTATTATTGAATAACATAGAGAAATGGTGAATAACTTTCATGATATGGTTATTATTTACTACTCTGGTTTTCTTTTTATGAAGTTTTTTTATTTTTTATTTTTCCTAATCATCACTTCTTGTGTGGAATGTAATTGGAAAAATCTTAGAAGTGGCTTGTTTTGGCCTGCTTTTAACTGGCATTTAAACCTCTTCGGAAATAACTATGTGATATTCTCAGGAAAATGTTTGTAAATCAGTCAGATTTAGTTTACTATGTTGTTTACATATGGTGGCTGTTTTATGTTTTCATTTTAAGAATTCACTGATCATTTTTAAATGCATAATGAGCAGTGTCCCATGAAAATAATGGTTTGGAGATAGAACCAATACAAAAAGGTTATTTCAAAGTAATTTGCACTTAGAGGCTTTTTTTTTCCTATTTTAATTTTGCTCCTAAATTGAAACTTGATCATGCATGCTTCCCTGTTCATTTGAAAATGCTTTAATTTTGCCCACAGTGTGGTGAGTTGTCTTTGTAATCTTGGATTCTTATCAATGGCTTTCTGGAGCAGGATAATACTTTTGTCACAGGGAAGAAGAGCTTATGTAAAAGAAAACATAGTTTTCTTGTTCTTAGGAACTTGAACTTGTTTTCACCAAGAGGCACTAAGCAGGCCTATTGTCTCACCTGGAAGTTTCAGGAACCTGGCTGATTTGTTTAGGCTTCACTAGGAATTGGTCCTAGATCTAGGAAAACAAACCTGGGAAATGAGTTGTAGGTAATGATGATATTGATTTATTTATTCTTTCAGAAGCACATTAGGTATACTAAAATTTCTCTTACGTTTTCTTTTTATTGACGAGGTGATGTACAGAGGGGTTACACTTATATAAGTAATGTAGTAAGTACATTTCTTGTCACACTTGTTCCCCTTTCCCTCATTTTTCTCCAACTTTTCTGCTCCCAGTTCCCCTCCCAAGTTGTACAGATCATTTCCAACATATTGTCTTGTGAATATCATTGTTTCCTTGGCTCCCTCCTTGTTAATTCTTGTTTCGTGTACTTTAAAACTTTTTCTAAAATTGATTCTATAATTGTTCAAATTAAACTTTAAGTTAAACTTCATCTTTATAAAGATGAGTTTTTTTTTTCTCTCTCTCTCTCACTCATACCCACCCCCTTTCCCCCCCCACCCCAAGCACACATCTATTCACCCACCTAAAAGTTTTGGCAATGTAAAAAAGAAAAGTGAGGTTGAATCTCAGTGTTGTTCTTTATTTTTCTTTCTTTCTTCTTTTCTGCCTTTTTTTATTGTGAAAATACCATACAGAGGGGTTACAATTACATGGGCAATGTAATGAGTACATTTCTTAACAAGCATTGTTGCCTCCTCCTTTGTTTCCCTTTACTATCCCTTCCCACCCACCCCCCTTCCCCCACCAAAGTTGTAAATTCTTTTTTCGACATAACAACTTGTACATCTCATTGTTGCAATGGGTCCACCTGTATCCCCATTTAAACAATTTGTCTTTTCCCTTCCCCTCCACAAATTATACCAACATCAAATACAGTAAAAACAAGGCTTACACCGTGGGGGAGGGACATACATGTTGTTTGATTTGCATTTCTTTTATGGCTAGAGAGGTTCAGCGTTTCTTCATGTGTCTATTGGCCATTCTTATGTCCTCTTCAGTGAAATTTCTCTCTAAATCTTTAGTCCACTTATTTATCGGACAGTTGTTTCTTTGAGGATTTGTTGTTGGAGGATTTAATTTTTTTAGTTCCAAGTATATTTGGAATATGAGACCCTTATCCATTGTATGGCTAGGGAAGACCTTCTCCCAGTCTGTGGTCTTTCTATTGATCTTGCTAGCTATGTCCTTTGCCATGCAGAAGCTCTGCAACTTCATGCAATCCCATTTGTCCAACCTTTCTTTGATTTGCTGTGTTTCTGGGGCTCTATTGAGAAAATTTCGGCCTGTGCCTAGGAGACCTAGGGTTTCTCCGATTCCTACTTGTAACGTTTTCAGGGTGTCTGTTTTGATTTCAAGATATTTGATCCGTTTGAAGTTCATATGTAAGGTTCAGGATGATACATAAGGATCTAATTTTAGTTTTCTACAGGTATTTAACCAATTTGCCAGCCCCATTTACTGAAGAGGCTGTCTTTCTTCCATTCTATTTTTTTAGCTCCCTTATCAAAAATTAGGTGGCTATAGGTCTGCGGGTTCTTTTTTGGGTTTTCAACTCTATTTCATTGGTCTTCAGGTCTGTTCTTGTGCCAGTACCAAGCTGTTTTGATTACTATGGCTTTGTAGAAGAATTTAAAATGTGGTATTGATATTCCTCCAGAAATCTAATAACAACAAATGCTGGAGGGGATGTGGCCAGAAGGGAACCCTACTGCATTTTGTTGGTAGGAGTGTAAACTTGTTCAACTACTTTGGAAAGCAGTATAGAGGTTCCTCAAAAGACTCCACATTGAGCTTCCTATGACCCAGCAATCTCACTTTTGGGCATTTACCCAAATGATCACAAACAAGATCATATTAAAGCTACCAGCACAACTATGTTCACTGCAGCTTTATTTACCAAAGCTAAGATATGGAACCAACCCAGATGCCCCTCAGTAGATGAATGGCTCAAGAAAATGTGATATATATATATATATATATATATCACATTATATATATATATATATATATATATATATATATATATATATATATGCAATGGAATTCTATGCCTCCATCAGAAAGAATGACATCATCCCATTTGTTAGGAAATGGAAAGACTTGGAAAAAATTGTATTAAGTGAAGTAAGCCAGGCCCAAAGTAACATAGGTTTCTCTTATTTGCAATAACTAGTACATGTCTGGGACAAGTAGAAAAGGTCAAAAGCTATGTACATATGACGAGATAAGATGGTGTTAAGCAAAATGAACCCTAAGACAGGGAGACAAGTGTTTTTTTATTTATAATGTACCATGTGATATTTTTGTTTCTTTGTATGTTCCTCCCCCATGGTATAACCCCTGTTTTCACTGTATTTGATGTCAGTGCCCTGCATCTTGTATATACACTTCTTTAGCTTAGGAAAAAACAAAATACTTAAGTAGGGATACAGGTTGACCCATTGTAACAATGAGATGTACAAGGTACTATGTTGAAATACGAACTTTACAATTTAGGTGGGGAGGTGAGGAGGAGGGGAATGTAGTTGTGGAGGTGGGAGGGAAGGGATAGTAGGGGAGAAACAAAGGAGGAAGTAACATTGCTTGATAGGAAATGTACTCATTACCTTGCTCATTTAACTGTAACCCCTCTGTACAGTATTTTTACAATAAAAAAGCACTTAAAAAAAGGAGAGAGAGAGAGAAAGAAAAGTTTGTCTGACACCAGTGGCTCATGCCTGTAATTCTATCTACTCCGGAAGCTGAGATATGAGGATTGAAATTCAGAGCCAGCCGTGGCAGGAAAGTCTTGAGACTTTTACCTCTAATTATCCACCAGAAAATGGGAAGTGGTGCTATAGCTCAAGTAGTAGAGTGCTGGCTGCTTGCCAATAGCTCAAGAGTTTAGGGACAGCACCCAGGCCTAATGTTCAAGCTGCAAGACTGACCCCTCCCCCCAAAAAATGTTTCTGAAATGCTTATGTGTCTAGAAAATGTATTAAAGTTTGGACAGGACTGAATGTAAAGGAGAGTTTTAGCTAATATCCTAACTTTTCTAAGAAGTTTTAGCATGACCTTATGTATCATATACAATTAGAATAGAAGAGTTAATCCCTTAAATATACTTAACTAAAATGTTGTATTTATCAATTATTTACAAAATAATGTTTTAACTGTATGGTCTTGGTTATAATAGTTAGAGTATGTGATGACTTTCATGACTTCTCTCTTCGTTCAGATTGACACAGGCTGTAAAATCCTCTAAAATTCTACAGGGAAAGTTTTGACTGCTGATGGTATTAGAATATCCTGTTGGAATTTAACATGAAGATATCTTAAGAAAGGAATTTATCAAACAATATTTTTAGTGTAAGAATTCAATCCATACAGCTTTCCTTTCTCCTTTCAAAACCCAATAATTGAGAAGATCCAAGAGACAGAAGGACTGACTGCTGTGCTATAGAAAAGTCTATTAAACGACTTTACTTTTAGTCATGTATTTATCAGGTTCCCCTGCTAGTGAAAGCATTATCAGCGACAAAGCATTATACAGACTCCACACACCACAGAGAGTTTCATATAACCTATTCTATATAAGTAATGCTCTTGGTTGTTTTACAGTGCATGGCTGGTATATAGCTACTCTGGGAAGAATGGAAAATAATTTTTTGATAAATAACACATTGTTGAATGACTAACTCACTAAGTAAATGGATAAAAGTTGAAGAATTGTTCTGGAAATTTTAAAAGTCAGAGTTAGTCTTGATGAGTTTCTTATATCATGTATGTCTACATAATTGTCCATGTATATGTGTGTGTGGCGTGGCTGTGTCTCCAGGATTCTCAGTCACTCTATATTCTGAACATGAGAGAATAATTATCCCTAAGGGGCTAGAAATGCAGGACTCTTTTGCTTTCCTACTTATTAATTACTTCTAATTAATCTAAAAGTATTTATTGAAATGGTCAATTAGCAATCTTCTAAAATTCTCCACTTCTATGTCCTTTTTCTAGACAGCCATAACTATTTTTGAAAATGATGAATGTATCTTTATGTAGTAGTCGGATGATTGA